TAGTAGAGACGGGGTTTCACCATGTTGACCAGGATGGTCTCGATCTCTTGACCTCGTGATCCACCCGCCTCGGCCTCCCAAAGTGCTGGGATTACAGGCTTGAGCCACCGCACCCGGCCTAATTTTTTAAATTTTTTGTAGAGATGGGGTTCTTTGTGTTGCCCAGCTTGGTTTCCCACTCCTGGGCTCAAGCGATCCGACTGCCTCAGCCTCCCAAAGTACTGGGATTACAGGCATGAGTCACTGTGCCCAACCTCCTAATCTTTTCTTATCCCAACAACAGATCTAGAGCTACAATAAATATCCAGTTGGTAATCCTTGCAACGTTAAAACCTGTCCAGCAAATTCAATATTCTATCCTATTAAACTCAAATGTGACCATATGCAAAATTATTCTCTGAGGACAGGAATGTTTTGTTTTTGTTATTTTTTAGGAAGAGGGAAGCAGAATGAGTTGGGACTAAGGAAGTGAGTGAACAACGGGCATAGTAAATAGATATTTACCTGAAAGCCAAATACATAAAATAAACAAGGGGCTGAAACTCCCTTCAGAAAGCTAGACGCAGAGCTATCTGAAAGCACAAGTTACATGACCCTAAGGCAGAGTTTAACCGTGGGGGAAGGCATAAGAAAAGAAAGCATTTATGAGCATGTCCTCAAGTGTGTGAACTGCACTCATGTATAGCTAACAAGCTAGTGAGATGAGACAGTAACGTAATAAATCTCATAATAAAGTTAAGTATTAACGCAAGGTGCTAAAAGTTAGAGAATGTTTCTCAAAGGAAGTGAGTCATTCATTTGGCAAGTATGTATTGAGTACCTATCGAATGTCCGGCTGCAATCTACACACAAAATGCCCAACAAAGAAAGGCAGAATCCCTCTTCTCAAAGAGCTCATAGTCTACTGGCAGAGGTGGCTGTAATTTAAGAAAACATAAATATGTGTGTGTGTGTGATGTATATATTATTAGAAATTGTGTTGAGTGCTGTATGGGAAATAATTCTATGAGAAAATAAGGTGATATAACTTACATTTGGGGCTTCAGGAAAAGCCTCTTTGAGAAAGCCGCCTTGAAGCTGAAACCTGAGGGATGAATAAGCAGACAGCATACCAGGCAGGAGTGATTTTTGGAGTGAAGTCTTCTGGGGTGAGCAGCCTTCAGTGATAAGGAATCTCACTTATGCAAAGGCATGAAAGCACAGGTATAACAGGTATGAGGAACTACAAGTTACCATAGCTCAGTTAAGGGGACGCGTGGAAATGGAAACACCAGGAAAAGAGAGAGAAAACCAAAGGCAAAAATATGAAGATGGAAGAGGAACAAACTAGAAATTCAATTCAGTATGTGTTGATTATTTACTATGTGTTTAGCAATATCTTAGTGGATTCTTTTTTTTTTTTTTTGGAGACGGAGTTCGGAGTTTTGCTCTTGTTGCCCAGGCTGGAGTGCAATGGTGTGATCTTGGCTCACTGCAACCTCCGCCTGCCGGGCTCAAGCAATTCTCCTACCTCAGCCTCCAAAGTAGCTGGGAGTACAGGCATGTGCCAACGCCCCTGGCTAATTTTTTGTAGAGACGGGGCTTCTCCATGTTGGCCAGGTTGGTCTCAAACTCCTGACCTCAAGTAATCTGCCCACCTCGACCTCCCAAAGTGCTGGGATTACAGGCATGAGCCACCACCCCCTGCCAGGGGGATTCTTAAAATGTTAAAAGAATGGCTCCTCCGCTCAATAAACTCAGAGTCTAAATGGGTAGATAACAGAAACATTCTCCTTCTAAGATAATCTTTCAGAGAACACTCCCTAATGCAGCCTCAACTACATTCTTTTAATATCATAAACTGTGCTTTTGTTTTCCCAAACGGTAACTCCTAAAATGAATTTTTAAATTAACAAATGAATCTTACTTCCTGCCACAGGCCCCGACTATGACTTTACAGCAATCTATGGCTAAAAATCACTCAGCTTTACTGGCTGCTTCTCAACAGGCCAATAAT